TATATATATATATATATATATATATATATATATTACGACTCAACAGTTAGGTTAACTATAAGCTAATGATAATGTGAATAGTAAAAAAGTTATAAATAATATTCATAATATTTATTTTTAATTCTAAAACGAAAAACTATATAAAATGAAGATTAATTAAAATGTTTTGCAAAATAAAAAATAAGACTTACTTTCACATATTTATGTTAAACTCAAATTATACCGCATTACTGATATGTATTTCGTTTTAATGAAAAACTGCACTGCCCTCGCATTAAATATTTATGTTAGTTTCAATCAGAAACATTAAAATTTGCTATGAATGTAAACAAAATTGTAAAAATATACGATCAAATCATATATCAACAAATTGTTAACATAAATCTTGTAATAAGAAAAAATTGTTAATATTCATATACTATATTTTTTTCTTGATATATAAAAAAAAAGATTTCTCAATGATGAGATTCGTAATGTCAAGTAGAAGAAAGATATTGTTAGTTTTGTGAAATAAATATTCTTATTAAAAATGTTAGCATTGGCATTTACCAAAATTTGTATTCGTTTTCAACGAAATCATAATGAAACAAATATATATCGATCATTTTCATTAGTACGTACATTTTTTTAATAATATAATATTTTTCACATTGTTTAATAATTCGCTATTATTTTATTTTATCAATTATATGTAAAAATTGTTATAGATATAATGTTAATAATATAATTTTATCTGAATGACAGTCTTTATAACAAAGCATTTCAAATATTTCTTTTTTTTGTCCCGTAATTTTATAATGATTATTTATTTATTTTAGAGTCGTTTTATTTTTTTAAACGAACGAAAAAAGAAAGAAATAGAAATAAAACAAAAAGAATTAATGGCACGTGGTCTTCCAAAAGTGAAACCTTTAAAAGGTGTTAAACAAATCGTTATTGTAGCATCTGGAAAAGGTGGAGTTGGCAAATCAACAATTGCTGTAAATTTATCAATCGCTTTAAAAACTGTCGAACCACAAAAATCTGTTGGTTTACTCGATGCTGATGTATTCGGTCCATCTGTACCGTTAATGATGAATATACAACAAATTCCCATGATTAATGATGCAAATCTTATAGAACCTCTTGTAAATTATGGTGTAAAATGGTAATAAAATAATATTATTTATTTTGTTTATATTCTTATTAATATCTTTAAAATTAAAATTTTCTTTCATATATATATATATATATATATATATATATATATATATATA